TTCCTGAGTTGGAAGCTAAGACACCACATGCTTCAAGGCCAAAAACCCAAAACATAAAAAAACAGAAGCAGTACTGTAACAAATTCAATAAAGACTTTTAAAAATAATAGAAATGAAGGTGAGTAGGAAACTAAGAATATCACAATTAAACATCTTATTTAGTATTTTCATTCTAAGAACTAAGAAATATAATAAATTAAATAAGATAAATCAGGCCTCCCTGCTGGTCCAGTGGTTAAGAATCCACCTTGCAATGCAAGGGACACAGGTTCCATCCCTGGTCCAGGAAGATCCCACATGCGTGGGGCAACTAAGCCTGAGTACCATAACTACAGAGCCTGAAAGTTGCAACTACGGAGCCCACGTGCCACAACTACTGAAGCCTGTGCACCCGAGGCCGTGCTCTGCAACAGGAGAAGCCACTGCAGTGAGAAGCCCACACACTCAACAAAGAGTAGTCCCTGCTCACTGCAACTGAAGAAAGCCCACTTGCGGCAACAAAGACCCATCACAGCCAAAAGATAAAATGAATCTCAAAAGAAATAAAAATAAATAAGATAAATCTACTGAGCTGGAGAGTGGTAGGAAACCCATATATACAGCAAAAATATTAGAAAATATTGACCAATGAGAAAGTAAATCTTTAAAAGATCAATAAACTTACTAAAAACCTTTTATAGAGGGAAAATATCTGAATATCTCAAAGCAGAAAACACAGAAAGAATCAGAGAGGCTTATGACTTGCCCAAAGCTTTCCAAGTTAGCGGCAAGGTTGGGACCAAAATCAAGGCTCTGACTATACCTTCAGCTGTCCTTTCACCAAATCATAGAAAATACTTTCCATCATGAGGAGTTACAGCCCAATCCACCATGAGATCTCAGTTGTAACTCTAGTAATTTATGTCCTAAGACATGACTTTCAGAATCTCTAATGAACTGCCATGTTTCATTACAACCATCTGAATAGATTGCTAAAAACCTACCCTAGACCTATGTGACTCAGATTCCCTGGTGGCTCAGAGGGTAAAGAATCTGCCTGCAATGCAGGAGACCTGGGTTCGATCCCTGGGTTGGGAAGATTCCCTGGAGAAGGGCATGGCTACCCACTCCAGTAATCCTGCCAGAAGAATTCCATGGACAGAGGAGCCTGGTGGGCTACAGTCCATGGGATTGCAAAGAATCATACATGACTCTTTGCAATTGAACATGAGCAACTAACACACACTCTGGTACCTGAACTTTTAATAAGAAAACCCTACCTCAAGTTTCCAATGAATGCTCGAGTTTGAGAACACTGCTCTACTTGACTGAAGTTTTAAAACAGAAACAGAACACTCTCTATTCATGCCTTCTAAAGAAATCCTTGTTTGCCCTTCTGTTAATCATTTCTTGACTTCTCACTCTTAGATGCCTCTTCTGTGCTCAATTCCAGGGTGATGGATGAAAAACAGCACTAAACACCTGCCCACAAAGTGAATCAACTATGCATATACAAATATCTACCTTTTCTTAGATGGATCATTACAGAGTATTGAGCAGAATTCCCTGTGCTATTGTCTATTTTATATATAGTGTGTATATACGTCAATCTCAATCTCCCATTTATTCCATACTTTTAACAAATGTAGGTAGCAATCTAATAAGATAATATCATGACCCACTAAGGAATCATGACTGTTTCAATGATTGAAAAACACTAGACTGGACGTTATACAGCTTTCATCTAATGATAAAGTAGAAAGAGTGTCAGGTACATTTCTCTCTTCTTTCTTAAATCCTCTTAAAGTCCTCTTGGTAGGATCATATTAATGTATATGCAGTAGATGTTAACAGAAAATAAAATTACAGTTTAAAAATTAAAGTTAACTAATCAATTATATTCTCTCAGACTTAAAATATTTTGTACTTCAAATTAGCAAACATTTAAAGTCCAGTTTCATAAATCAGTTGCTAAGATATCCTTAAGGGTATCTACCCACAAACATTTTCTTGTTAGTTCTTTGTCTCTCTTACCCCAGGCACATCTGGATGGAGGCAGAGACAGTGATGAGAGAAGGAGTCAAAGTAATGACCAGAAGGCAATCTCTTTTTGCACAAGCACATACTTAGGGGCTGACATCACAGCCCCATAGTACGAACTACAGATGGGAAAGTAACTGGATTCAAGTCAGGAAATTTAACTTTTATCAGATGAAGACAGGAAAGACTTGAACAGAGAAACTCACACCTGTGCCGAGGGACTAAAAGCCAACAACCCAACACCATCACGATTGCAATTGCTCTAAAAATAACTTTTGCTAAAGCAATAAATAAGATGAAGACCACCAACTGAGCTTCCATTGACACTTCTCCCTGGTACCGTTGTACCCTGCAGACAACATCAAAAATAATATGATAGTTGAAAAGAAAGCACCCAACCACCTTGCTGTTTCCAGGTGGGCAGCTCACTCAGACTCCAGCTGCCTGGACCCCCAGGTCAGTCTCTTGAGTCCAGCCCTTCCCTGCAGCGGGGGCCCCTCAACAATTCATGAGAGCCAACCACACACACCCTCATCTATGGGAAACTGAGACGAGCTCCAAATGGTAAGATGAGGGGGCCATATAGCTTCCTGGATGCAATCATCAGGTTGTTCTTTAGACTATTTGCCTGCGGGAGTCAGACCGATGAAATCATCCAGCAAAAGGCAGGCACACAGTGACCAGCCAGGCTCAGTCAGGCTCAGCCAAGGGACAGAAAGCCAGCACTTCCTTGTCTATGATTTCAGCCCTGTCTGGACGCAACAGCCAAGGTAGTGATTACCCCACAGGGAGGCCGACCAGAGTCTTCAGAGTTAACCGCCCGGGGACGCCCTTCTCCTTCCTCACCTGTGTTTCCCTTTATCAGTTTCCTGTTCTGTCCAGCAGGCTTCTTTCCTTTTTCACTACTTTCTTATTTTATCTGTCTCTTATCTTTCTCAGTTAAAATACATCATCCTCCCTGCCAGATTACCCCCATTGCACTATACTGCTTACAAACCAGTGTGATTTTTAGGAGAGCTGTGTTAGTCACTGCAGAGACATTGCGAGCTGTTACAAAGATTTCCATAATATTTTAGGAGGTCCCACCTGCATCGTTTGTTATCTAAGTTACAGCTAGTTTATTCATGCAGCAAATTAAACTTGTGTTCACAGTTGATTAAAGGCAGAAGACATCCCAAAGATCATCAAATCCAATCCCCTAATTTTACAGATGAGAAGACTATGGGCCAGAGAGTTCAAGTGACTTGCTCCAAATCTGAATCTAATATTCAGCTGTGGTTTGGGCCAAATATATGAGGCAGATAAAACCACAGGAGTATGGAAAATTATGTGCATACTAGGATTTCTTGAGAAGCCAGTTTTGGTCAGCGGATGTTAAAAATCTGAACGAAGTCCAGTAAATATGTCAATCATATAATGTAACCTACTGGAACTGCCAGGGATTCAATTTCTCAGGTGCTGGAGCTATATAATAAGCTGCCTTGGGAGTGGGACCCACAGGAGAGAAAGGTGTATAGCTTTCTTACAGTTGGGATCCTGGAGAAATCTAAAGCCATGCTTCCAAAACAGAACCTGAACTACTAGAAGGCAGCCTGAAACGAAGAATCATGGTCAGATGCTCTGAGAAGAAACAAGTGAGAAATTGAGAGGGACTCCAAGTAGATTAATTTACCCCCCCCCTTTTTTTTTAAGGGAGTGGGGGCTTTAAAAGATGAGAGCCTGGGGTTTCTGGATGCAAGAGTGTCAGTGGGAACACATATGGCACAAGGAAACGCTCTCAGTACTTTCTTAAGCAATGAAGAATTGCATGCTTCTGGGACAATTCAAAGGTGTGAAATGCTTGGGAAATTTAGTCACACACCCCCATATGTCATAACTGCACAGTATTTTGGTCCATGAGCTATCTTTCTAAATACTACACAAAAGGAAAGCCCAGACTCCCTAAAAAGGTATATACCCCAGTGGCAACATGAGCCTAAGAAAACACGTTTATTGTTGCTGTTTGGTCACTAAGGCTTGTCCAACTCTCTATAGCCCGCCAGGCTTCTCTGTCCACGGGATTACCCAGGCAAGCACACAAGTGGGTTGCCATTTCCTCCTCCAGGGGATCTTCCTGACCCAGGGATCGAACCCACATCTCCTGCATTGGCAGGCAGATTCTTTTCTGCTGAGCCGCCAGGGAAGCCCTAAAGCCCATAATCTCTGGGGCTGGCTAGGAACATCTCTGGTTTACCTATGACCTCAAAGACTCTGCTGGCAAATGGTGTTTGTTCCCTACATTGCATTGACAAAGAGCAAAGTAATGATGAGAATTAAGTAAAAGAAAAATATAATAAAAGGAATAAATGCTGAAAAGTTTCCATTTCATTAGGTCAAATTTAGAAATGTATATCCTAACAAGAAAACTTTCATTTTCAGCCATAGAATTCCATGTAGTGTAGTGGTTTCTTACTGTTTTTGTCCTTTTTCTAACTTCTTAAATTTTTGGTCTCTTTTGGTAACATTTAATTTTGATAGAAATTTAAATTCAACAGAAAAGTTGTTAGGAATAGTTCCAAAATTCCTTTCACTTAGATTTACTACATACATATATTTTGCTCCCATTGCTTCATTATTCCTAAAAACATAAATATTTTCTTACAAAACCACAGTACAATTACCCAAATTAGAAGATTTAACATTGATAAAATACTCATCATTCAGATCAGTTCAGTTCAGTTCAGTCGCTCAATCATGTCCGACTCTTTGCCACCCCAGGAATCGCAGCACACCAGGCCTCCCTGTCCATCACCAACTCCTGGAGTTTACTCAAACTCATGTCCATCGAGTCGGTGATGCCATCCAGCCATCTCACTTAAGTCACTACACTTTATTATAAAAGCATCTTTCTTTACATAGCACAAATTTTGGCATAAAGTATTCTCATGGTACTATTTTGTAAGAAAGTAAGTGAAACCAAGCATACAATGCTATTTTCTTACCTGCTGATGCATCAGTTGCTTCATAGTTTATTAGAAAGCCTTCATAAGCAAGGTCAGAGTCAGCCACAAATGTAAGCATTAATGAATTGTCACTACTGGTAAGAGAGGGCGGGATGGATTTTCCACAATATCTATTTGGAACCAAGAAAGAACACAGATTCAAAAACTTTCAGGATACTCAAAATGACATACCCCAAACTAGGATATGTTAAAAAAACAATAATAATATCCCATATTAACCTTAAAAAACAAATTTATTTCAAGCACAAAACATACACAAAGTTGCTAAAGATCATCCAAACTCACAGTTACTTCCTTTAGATGGTTTTATGTATGTGCCTAAGTGTGTGACATGTCATATAACAGAATTTTAATGAAATTAGAAATTCCAAGCTACAGTAGGTCACCATATAGCATATTAATGAACTTATTAATAGAAATATAATAAACATACAACAAAGGAAAATCATGTATTATAAACTCATAGCACAGACTCTAGAGTCAGCTCTATCCCTTAGAGGCTTTATGATTTTGGATAGATGTCTCAGTTTTCCCATCTATAAAATGGGGATGGCTATATGACCTACTTCAAAGAGTTGTCCTGAGAATTGTATGAGTTAAGACACTGCATATAAGGAACTCAGAACAGTGTCTAGAATAGTTAGCCTTATACAGGTGAACTCTACTCTCTTTACATTGGTCCATACAGAGGTAAGAGTCTGATTGCTAATCCATGTCAAATTTTTGCTGAAGAAAGCAATTTTTACTCAGAAAAACTATTCTAGTAAGGCTAGAAGTAAAATTGCAATAAAAGACATCATGTTGTGAACTCTTATCTAGAAACACTTGTGAGAGAAGTGACTAGGAAATCAAAATCTCAATTCAAAGAACACTTGGTAAAAAGCAAAGGAGTGACAGGGGGAAAAAATAGAAACCAAAATAAGATAAAGTATTAAACATGGGAAATGTTAATTTCTGAGGCAGAAAAAGGAAAAAAAGTAGTGTATAATAGCATTTCAGTGTAAAAATGATTTAATATCTTAAAGCAAAGGTAGATGAATTAATATTCTATATATCTCTCTTTTGAAAAACAACAATAATAGTCTACATCATTCAGCAAAAAATAGGCAATTTTCAGTGATTAAGAGTCAAGTACCAACCATAAAAAAGAAGGAATTTTAAAAATTTAAAGATTAAGACAAGGAAGAGCAAAAAAATGAAGAGGGAGAATAAAGTTAGGGGCAAAAATAAGTTTAAGGAAACAATGGATAAGAAAAACATGTTTAAATGTTTAAAAATGGATGAGGAAAAAGAAAATGAAATACAAAAGAAGGGGGAAAAGGGAATCAAAAGATATCTATGTCCAACAAAGATGTAATAATAGGGGTTATATTTACATAATCTTTTTTCTGAAACAACTGAAAATCTGGACAAAATAGATAAACCAATGGTTCTCAAGACACTAGATATCCAGCAGTGAAAGACAATAACTCTTCAGAGACAGGAGACAAGTGAATAAAAATGATCAAACTGTTTCCGAGTAACTTAACTGCATCCAAAAACAAAACCCAAGAATACTTAGAGTGATACAATAGTGTTTGGTACACAAACACAAAACTGAAAATGTCTGTCATCCTATCAAATATTGTTGTTCAGTTGCTAAGTCATGTCTGACTGTTTGCGACCCCGTGGACTGCAGCACTCCGGGCTGCTCAAATTCATGTGCATTGAGTCAGTGATGCCATTCAGCCATCTCATCCTCTGTTGCCCCCTTCTCCTCCTGCCCTCAATCTTTCCCAGCATCAAGATCTTTTCCAACAAATTGGTAATATCAAGTATTACCAACTATGAAAAGAAGGAGGAAAGCATAACCCATAATGACAAGAAAAATTCATCAATCATAATATAGCAAGAAGTACTGAATCAGCAAAGACATCAAAATATTTATAACTGTATCCCACCAATTTAAGATGCTAGAAGGAAAAAATTAATAGGTAAAGTAGGGATGTGGAAGATATATAAAAGATGGCCTCAGATGAATTTCCAGAAGTGAAAATTACAATGTCTGTGATGGAAAAATGTACTTGGTAGGATTAATAACAGAATAGACACTATAGAAGAAAAGATTAGTGCACTTGAATAGAGAGCAATAGATATTTTCCAAAATGAAATGCACACAGAACAAAGACAAATTCAAATGAACAGAGTATCAGTGAGCTGTGGGACAATATCAAATGGCCTAAGATAGGTGCAACTAGAGTTCCAAGGGCAAAAGAGACTAAAAAAGCTTTTCAAGAACAGCCCAAAATTTTTCAGATTTCATTAAACTATTAACCCTCAGACTAAACAAACTCAACAAAATATGCTGACTGAGAAAAGTCAGATGAAAAATGAGTACATACAGAATGATTCTGCTTTTATACAATTTCAGATATGCAAACTAACTTACAGTGATAGAAAGCAGTGTAATGATTTCCTGGGGTTGGGGAAGAGGGGCAGAAATGAGGACTTATAGAAGGTTTGAAGGCAGGAAGAAGGTGTGAGGGTAACGGATACGAGCATTATTTTGATTTTGGTGATGCCTTCATGGGTATACCCTCATGTCAAAAGGTAATTACTAATGCCCAAGGCTACACAGTAGTGAATATGATATAGAAAAGGTCACTGAGAAGTGTGTTGATCTCACTTATTTTTTATAACACAACATGGTAGATTTTAACATCTTTTACAGAAGCAGGAACACAAGAACGCAGGAAACTTTCACGCTAAAAAGCAAAAAATAAAATATTCTCACCTCCCAAGAGATGTCTGAGAACCAGTGTCATAAACTTCTAGATAGTCCTTTGTACAATTGTAATGAAACTCCAGATGAAATTCTCTGAATGTTAGATGAATCAGGTGACCAGGCTGGACTATGATATGCCAGGTACAACTGATGCCATGGGGGTAGATATTTGGATGGCCAGGACTTTGAATGCTTCCGGTTGACTCTGTAAGAACTTTTCCACACACTGTTGAAATAAAAAAAATAATAATAATTATCAAAATTATTTTTAATTCTGATTAAAATTAGAACCAACAAGCTACCTGGAATTCCAAATAAAATAATCTGATCATAACCTCTTAAAAGGTCAAAAAGGAAAAGTTTCCTTCTGTGCCACCTAGGATAACCTAAATTTTTCTCTTATTAATAGGCATCAATAAACCACTGAGATGTGCTGATTAGGAAATATATATTTCCTTTGCCTTTAAGTGTACTTTAAAATTTTTACAGCATAGGTGACTACACACCTACAGTATAGATTAATTTTCTATAATAATATATTTCCACTGTTCACTTATTCTGATACAAGCCCCAAAGGCAAAGTAGAAGAATCACTTACCCAAAGTTGCACTGCTAAATTTAGCCACGAAACCATGGTTTTCAGTAGAAGAACTTTTCACGAATATGACATGAAGAGAATTGTAGACGGATGTTATAAACGAAGGGATGTCTGTGCCACAATGCTTTTCATTTTCAGTAGAACCCAAAATGGAACTGCTACCAATCTAAGTAAAAAAGATATGCTCAAATTTATTCTCCAAGATATTTATTTTGGAAACCTACTTCAAGAATAATTTTTTAATAAAATGTATTAATATAGTAAAAATCAATTTGAGAATATTTTAGTTGCCCTAAAAGAAACTCCATCCCCATCAGCAGTTGCTCCCCATACCCCTCAAGCCCCGGCCCCACAAAGCCATTATTCTGTTTTCTATTTCTATAGATTCCCTCTTCTGGACATTTCAAATAAATGGAATCATACAATATGCAGTCTTTTGTAACTAGCTCCTTTCACTTCACATAGTGTTTTCAAAGTTCATCCATGTTGTAGTGTGTATCATTACGGCATTTCTTTTTAATACCATATAATATTCCATTGCATGGATATATCACATTTTATTAATCCACATATCAATTGATGGACATTTAGGTTCTCTCTATTTTCTGGCTACTATGAATAATGGCTGTGGTCATTCAGGTACAACTTTTGTGTGAACGTATATTTTCATTTTCCTTCAATGTATACCTAGAAGTGGAATTGCTGGATCAAATGATACTCTATGTTTAACTTTTTGAGGAACTGTCAATTGTTTTCCACGACAGCCGTACCATTTAAATGTTCCCCAGTGGTGGGAAAGTGTAAAAGGGTTCCAATTTCAACACTTGTTATTATCTGACTTCTTGATTATAGTCATCCTAGTGGTTGTGAAGCAGCATCTCATTGTGGTTTGATTTGCATTTCCCTTATGATTAGTGATGTTGAGTATCTTTTGTATATCTTCTTTAAGTAAATATATAAGTTCATATTATTTGCCCATTTAAAAATTAGATTATTTATTTTTAATTTCAATGAAGTTCAAATTTTCCAGTTTTTCTTTTGTTGTATTTTTTGTGTCAGATCTAAGAAGGCTTTGCCTAACCCCAAATCACAAACACTGACTACTATGATTTCTTCAAGAGTTTCATGATTTTAGCTCCTAAATTTAGGTTGGTGATCCATTTTGAGTTAATTTTTTTGTATGGTGTAAGGAAAGGATCCAGTTTCCTAATTTCATATGTGCATATTCAACACCACTTGAAAAAACCAATTCTTCCCATTGAAAGTCTTGGTGCTCTTTTCAAAAATCAATTGATCATAAAGACATAGCAATTTATTTCTGGATTTTCTGTTCTGTTCCATTGCTCCATGCTTTTATTCTTACTTGAATAATAAATGTAATATCCTTACCTGATTATTATAGTTCTGTTTTAAGTTTTAAAGTCATAATTATGACTCCTCCAATGTTGCTCTTTTTCAAGAATGCTCCTGATTATTCTGGTTCCCTTGCATTTCCATAAGAATTTTACAATCAGCTTATGTGTTTCTGTGAAAATTCCCACTGGGATTTCAGTAAAGACTGAATTGAATCTTTAGATAAATTTAAGTAGTATTGTCATTTTAAGAACATTAGGTCTTGTAATCCATTAATTTGAGATGTCTTTCTATTTATTGAGGTCTTTAATTTCCTTCCTTTGTAGTTTTCAAGAGTATAGATTTTAGATGTCTCTTTAAAGCTATATTCCTCAATGTTTATTCTTTTCTATGCTATTGGAAATGAAATTGTTTTCTTGACTTATTTTTCAAACTGTTCATTGCTAGTGTATAAAAAAGATGACTATCATATTTTGATCTTATAGCCCACAACCTGCTGAATTTATTAGTTTTGATATTTTATGTGTATGTGTGTGCATTCCTTAAGATTTTCTATGTACAACACTATATCTGTGAATTGAGATAATCATGTTCCTGCCTTTCCATTCTAGATGCATTTTATCTCCTTTCCTTGCTTATTGTCCTAACTAGAATTTCCAGTATAATGTTGAAAACACATGGTAAGAACAAACATCTTTGCCTTTTTACTGACAACACAGAGGCAAATTATTTAGTGTTTTGTTATTAAAAATGATGTTAGCTTTATATACTGCTGAATTCATTTATCTAGAATTTTGTTGAGAATTTTGCATCTATATATTTTTTTATAGATGCCCTTTATCAGATTAAGGATGTTATGTTCTGTTCCTGGTTTGTTGAGTGTTTTTTCATGAAAAGGTACTGAACTTTGTCAAATGCTTTTTATTTGCATCTATTGAGGTAATTATGTGGGGATTTTCCCCCTTTATTTTATACTGACTATTTTTGGATGTATAGCAGCCTTGCGTTTCTGGGCTATATAATCCTCTTTATATGCTGCTGGATCCAGTTAGCTAGAATTTTGTTGAGGATTTTACATCTATAAACTAGTTTTGTTTCATGTAACTGAGTGAGGATAACGTGACATAATATTTTTAATAACATCTAATCAAATGCAAATATTCAAAAGTGTTTTACTCTCACCTCGATATAATCTGTATCACAGTGGGCAGAACCTCCCATGTCAAAGGCAGTGAAGTTGAGAAGAACCACTTGACTTTGGGGTTGGAGGATGGTCCACACACAGACCTTTTCTCCTGGATACACATTAGGGTAAAAGGGCGAGCGAATGATCCCTTCTCCAGTTAATTCTCCTCCACAAGCTGTGAGTATGAAAACAACAGTAGTATTTGTCTAGAGATAAATGACTGTTGCCCTCAATTTTATTGCAGAGTTCCACTCTGCATAACGTTATAATGCAATGTGACCTTACTATTAGAATTTTCCCCTTACCACTGGAGGACACAGAATGACTAAAATATTTCAAGAAATGAAGATGTTACAATCAGGCAAATGAGACATTTAAAAATTAATTTTCTTACCCACTTGATAAATAGCACTGAAACTAGCTCTGACAACAGAAGCATCCATTTTAAGCCTGATCCAGATACTGTTAGTAATGGATTTCATGTGAGAGAGGGTTTCATTGCCACAGACTTTTCCAAGTAAGGTTTGATCATCTCGAACCTAAAGAGAAAAATAAAATTTATCTGTAATCCTAATCAAGAAACCTAATCAACAAAGAAAAAGAATTAAAAAATAAAATGAGCACAAATACAAAAAATTTAAAATGACAACGGTGATACAAATACACAGATTCTGAAAAACTTGTATAATAATTTTAGGTACAACACTATGTTAATATAGTTGAATGTTTGAAATGTTTATCCCCAGAAAAATCTAAATTACTAAAATTATCTCAAGGAGAAAAATAAAATCTGAGTAGATAATAAGTCATGAATAAAACTGAAAATATTACAAATAACTAGTTCTCCCCAAAAAAAAAAACCTTCTAGAAGATGCTCTTCATGGTAAATTAAATTAGACATTAAAGGAAAAGACAATTCCCATACATAATTTGTTCTAAGGAACACTCAAACATGGAACAATTCACAAATAATTATTCCCAGAATCATCTCACCAAATCCCAACACAGATAATACAAAGGAAAACTATGGATAGATCTCATCTATTAATATAGATACAAAAATCCTAAACACAGTTCAAGAAAAGTGAATTCACTCTCTTTGTAGGCTTATGTACCAAAACAAACATGAGGATAAGAGTGATGCAAGGACTATTAGAAATTATAAATTAAACTTGCCAATAGATCCAATAAGCTAAACTGTTTTATCTCTATAGATGGCAAAAAGTGTCAGCATTTCTATTTATTAGAAACAAAACTCTTAGAAAGTCAGGAGCAAAAGGAAATGTCCTTCCTATAACAAAGACCACCTACTTTAAATCAATAGTCAGTATCTTATAGTGTAGTGGCCATGAGTCTGGTCTATGGAGTTGTAAAGTGAAGTGAAGTCGCGCAGTCGTGTCAGACTCTTTTCGACCCCGTGGACTGTAGCCTACCACGCTCCTCCGTCCATGGGATTTTCCAGGCAAGAGGACTGGAGTGGGTTGCCATTACTGCTGCTGCTAAGTCACTTCAGTCGTGTCCGACTCTGTGTGACCCCATAACGGCAGCCCACCAGGCTCCTCCGTCCCTGGGATTCTCTGGGCAAGAACCCTGGGGTGGGTTGTCATTTCCTTCTCCAGTGCGTGAAAGTGAAAAGTGAAAGTGAAGTCGCTCAGTTGTGTCCAACTCCTTGCAACCCATGGACTGTAGCCTACCAGGCTCCTCCATCCATGGGATTTTCCAGGCAAGAGTACTGGAGTGGGTTGCCATTAAACTGGATTCAATTCCCACCTCTGTCACTGACAAACCTTCACTTAATAACTTCGAAAGTGAAAGTGAAGTCGCTCCGTCGTGTCCAACTCTTTGCAACCCCACAGACTGACTATAACCTACCAGGCTCCTCCGTCCATGGGATTTTCCAGGCAAGAATACTGGAGTGGGTTGCCATTTCCTTCTCCAGGAGACTTCCCAACCCAGGGATTGAACTCAGGTCTCCCACATTGTAGGCAGACGCTTTACTGTCTGAGCTACCAGGGAAGTCACGCAAGTTACTAAATCTAAGCCAAACTCAAGAAGTTGGATCAAAGAGATGAAACCAACACGTGAATTCCTTAGTAAGATGCCAAGTACTAGAAAAAGTGGACTAAAGAATAACTATTGCTATTCTTGACCTTTCAGAAGTTTCTCACTCAAATCAGGAAATCTTCTATGGATATACATAACTACCTTTGTTCTACAGAATTCTTTTGGAAGAGCTAGCTGTCCAAACATAGCTCCATTCCCACAGCTAACATTATCAAGGCATCAACAAACACCAGCACCTGTGCCTGTGACGTCACTGTGAAAGAGTCACCATGCACAGGAGCATACAATAAGCAAGTTCATTTTTTTGTTTTTCCCCCAGAAGCATGACAGTCATGTTTGAGAATGTAGAGTGTGCTGATATTGCTTAACACAATGGTTCTCCATAGGTACCTCAATTAAACATTCTGAAAACCTGTGAAGGCAGTTTTGGGCTTTGTTTTAATTACTAACATGAAGGTGGTGGGGTACTATTGACATTTAGTGGCTGGGGACTGGAGATATGAAACACCCTGAAATGTGAGAGACAGTCACACACAAGGGTTCTCCTGTGTCCTGTGTGTCCTTCAATGCAGTGACAGTTACAAATGTAAAATCTACCTCTATTTTATATACCAGATGCAAAATAATTTTGTTCAGTTCTAATATGTACAAGATTTTCCAGGATTACAAGTAGAGTGTGAATCAAAAGAAGTTATTTTTTATTCCTGGAAATCTGCCAAAAATTGGTCACCATTTCAGAAAATTCATCCCCAACCCACACGGCCATGTCAGCTTGCATTTTTAGTGTAGCATTCATATGGTTCAGGGAGCAAACAATTTATGACTTCATTCTGCCTTCAAGTGCAGCTTGCCCAGGCTTTTAACACACTGACATAATTTCTTTTACTTTGCTTTATTTCTCCTAAATCTTACACTTACAGATTTATTTACATAATGTATGTATACAATGTGAGCTGATATCATCTATGAATTTCATTTCAGAATAGTATAAGAGTCACACTGGAAGGTCTTGAAGTGTAGAGAACCACTGACTTAACCAGATACTCTGAATTCCCACAGAAAATTAGGGAATCTTTCTCAGCAGAAATAACTTTTAAACTGAAACTGGAAAGAATATCCAGGTCAAGGGGAATGGACAGTAAAGGGAAGAGGTTACAAGTACGATAGCCAAAGCTGGTGGATATATGGTAACATGTTACTCCTATCCGTAGCTGGTGGGAGTATACATTTCTGGAAAGTAACTAGACAAATGTATCAAGAGTCTTGGAAATATTCATAGTTTTGGACCTGGTAACTTCACTTCTAACACTCTGTCATAAGGAAATCATTCAAGATTCAAAGACACAGAAGGTTCCACATCAATATGCTCTATAAACATAAGCATTGAAAATATTCCAAATGTCTAATAATAGGAGGGTGATTAAATAAATCATGGTACAGCCATATGATAAAGTCTTACACAGATGTTGGAAATTGCATGCCTTTCCACTGACTCATCCCAAACCAGTTCCTTTCTGTGAGCTGTAACATAAATTTTACATACTGCCATTAATCTATGTTACATAGGTCTCCAACCAAACAGCAGATCTCTTAAGGAAGAGAAAATTCCTGTATCACCTTCATCTTCTAACACGAAATTCTGCTAATAGATATCTGATGGACGCTTGCTAATTCATTAATTTTAAGGTGTGGTATGATGGCTCAATTTTTGTTGGAGACATACTACAGTGCTTAGAAACCAGAAAGCATGAAACACAGAGTAGGATATCTTCCCTTCTCTGGAATCCTGCAGGGTGCCATTCGCTTCTGCTAAGACTGCAGCGAATGTCTCTCTCTTCTCTTTTGCCCATTAGAAGATGACAAGGGGGAAGAAAAACAGCCAAATAGCAGCAGAGCTAGCTAAAGTGGGCCATTCCCCTGGGCCTCACTAATGAAATTCAAGGACTTCGGCAAGGAGAAAGGCAGTTGCAGCCCAAATGTTTTAAGAAAAACTTATAGGGCTCAAGGGCTTTAAACCTAGAAGGTACAATTGATTTTGGCTATGTTTCTCTCGCTCTCTGTGGAAATGAAACATTATTAATTCTGAAAGTCTGTATTCTCCCTGGATCCTAGGCATGGCAAAACTATAACCACAACCCCTGAATGCTCTAGAGTAATGCACATCCTGCATTCAATATCAGAGGACTTGTGAATTTGCACAACATCACAAAAACCTTTGTTTTCTAAAAACAAAGGTTTTTGTGATGTTGTTTTTTGAAGTTTCTTTTGTACTTGTGCAAGGCGACAGAATGTGTTATTTTTCTAATTGCTCACATCCTTCCAGAAAGAGACGGAATATTTCACAAGCTCATTGCCTTGTGACTTGTGCTGCTTCCCTATGGCCATTATTAAGTGGCCTTGACTTCCTGTTGTCCTTCACTCTGGGTTTGGCCACAGGGCTTGCTTTGCCCAAATGAATGTGAACAGAAGTGATGTACCTGTTTCCAAGAACAAGCTTTGGGAGTCACTGCGTGATTCAACCACCTTTTCTTTTCTGGCTCTCACAAGACCAAGGGCTGGGGTCCCAGGGACAGATGGAACAGGGGACCAGACCAGCAGAGCTGCCCCTGACCCCAAACTGGCATGTTAACTTGTGTGGAGAATAAGCATATGTCGTTGTAAGCCACAGAAAATTTCCATTATTGTTTTTATTTTGTTGTTGTTGACTTTTCATTATTGAAATCTAAACTAGAGAAAGATGACTCATATTTGAGCCTGGTTTGAACCAAAAAAATAGTTTTTTTTCTTAAGAAGTCAGCTGGGTGGAATGGGGCAGAGGATGGAGACTCAAGAGGGAAGGAATGTATATATGTAATTATGACTGATTCACGTTGGCGTGTCGCAGAGACTACCACAACATTGTAAAGCAATTATCCTCCAAAAATAAAAGTCGGCTGAAGCCATGCCACGGTCACTTGCAGAGGCATCACCACACCAAACCCATTCTTTACTGTAGGTCACATTTGCAAAGAAATGACAAGCGCCATTTCAAATTTTAATCTTCTGTGGATGAGGCCCAGATTTTTCATTGATTGTGCTATTTATTCAGCAAACGTTGATTTTTCCAGGCTCAGAGATCGAATTTATAACCTGTGACCTATGATTTAACCCTACAGGATAGTCCAAATGGCTTCTGATTTTTATCTTCAGCAGATAGATCAGGTTCCTGATGACAAACTACTCATACAAAAGTGTGTTTTTTAATTTAAAATATTAGTTCTTAAAAAGAAACTATGTCTTGGTGACCTAAATAGGAAGGAAATCCAAAAACAAGGGAATGTATATACAGAGAGCTGATTCGCTTTGCTGCACAGCCGGAACGAAAACAACACTGTAAAGCAGCCATACTCCAATAAAAGCCAATTAAAAAAAAAAAAAAAGAACCATGTCCTGTAGAAAGAGCTAAAACTAATTAGGCTTAAAAATACAGTTTATA